TCCATTCTCTCTGCAAGGCAATGGAAAAAACGATCCTCTTGAGGATTAACAACAAAAAGTATTCAGCTAGTGCAAGTGACACACTCCAAGGGGAGAGGCAGAGTCCGATAGTTCAAAGGATACTTGAGTTTAAAACTTGATTTCACCATTTGTGTGAGCTTAATCAAGTTAATATAGACAATCATCCGGGTACAATATTGGCATAGAGTGAGCATCCTGTGCGTGTAGGATGTAACTGTTTTTAATGATTTGCTTAACTCGTTTGTAGATCAGGTTAGTATTATAAAAAGTCATACTTATCAGGACTTAGAAAATAATGGTCACTATTTAATGGATCAATATACAGCCCTTAATGAAATTATTTTCTATTTTTTTGCAACTGGTATGTATAATATTTAATCAAAATACAAAGTTATAATAACAGGAACAACTGGGAACAAACACCACTGACTCTTGGCAAGCATACAACCAGTAGCGCAGAAGTACGCAGGTGTCCCAGAGTGTTGTACCTGTGGGCGTTCAGCGTGCCATGGGCATCAGTCAGTGCGTGAGGGGAATAATGGCAGGATAGGAACAAGTGTTCGTAAGAATCACCATTCTCATCTTTTCTGGCTTCTTACTATCCCGTTATTGTTCCAAAGCAGAAGTATGGTGATTAGATGTGTTCGTTTTCTGGAGCTGCTGTAACAAAGTACCACAAACTGGGTGACTTAAAACAACAGAAATTTATCCTCTCACAGTTCTAGAGGCTAAAACTTCAAAATCCAGGTGTTGGCAGGGTTGGTGGTTCCTTTTGGAAGTTCAGGGGGAGAGGCTATTTATGCCCCTCTCTTAGCTTCTGATGGTTGTTGGCAATCCATGGCATTCCTTGGCTTGTAGACACGTCATTCCAATCTCTTCCTCTATCTTCACAAGGTATTTTCCCCTCTCCTCTACTTTTTCTATATGTTTTTAAATATATCTTTATTGATTTCAGAGAGAGGAAGGGAGAGGGAGAGAGAGAGAGAGAGAGAGAAGCATCAATGATGAGAGAGTCATTGATCGGCTGCCTCCTGCACACCCCCTGCGGGGGATCGAGCCCGCAACCCGGGCATGTGCCCTGACCAGGAATCAAACCCCGATCTCCTGGATCCTAGGTCGATGCTCAACTTCTGAGCCACGCCAGCCGGGCCACCTCTCTATTTTTAAGGTTAAAAGTATGACCTTTTAGTCAGATGAATATGGAGTTTGAATCCAGCTCTGCTTTTTTGTGATCTTGGACAAATCCACCTAACATCCCTGAGCTTCAATTTCAAGGAAAATAGGAACAATATCTTCCTCAGGGCCCTTGTGATTGAGTTATATATCAGGAGACGTAATATAAATTGTGGCCACTGGAATTAAGTTCAGAGTCAATACAGCAGCCACTTTTTCTCTCTTGAGTTTGAATATTTTAGTGTGATAAGGTGCAAGGCCTATACCATAGAAATTTAGGGACAAAAGAGATATGAGTCCTTATAGAATTAAATTCAGAGTATTCTCAATTTCTGAGTAAGATGTTAAGAGACTTAGGTCCTTAATCTACCTTCCTATGCTTTCTGTCTTTTGTTTTACTCTTTCCCTAAGAATAAAGTGGGTTAGATATGATTAAAGTTAATGGAGCCAGAGAAATACTTACTGTTTTCCCAGGCATCAAGTACAATAAAGTTCATTCTGTATTAAAAGATAAGCCCAGCCAGCATGGCTCAGTGGTTGAACATCGACTTATGATCCAGGAGATCATGGTTTGATTCCTGGTCAGAACACATGCCAGGGTTTCGGGCTCAATCCCCAGTAGGGGGCCTGAGGGAGGCAGCCAATCAGTGACTGTCTCCCATTATTGATGTTTCTATCTCTCCCTCTCCCTTCCTCTTTCTGAAATCAATTTAAAAATATATATGCATATATATATAATTTTTAAATTAAAAAATCATTTGTAATGCTATCAATAGACAATAATGTCCGGTTCATGTAGTGTAAAGAGTAAAGCATGTACTATTGTGTACACAGGAGTTACTAAGAATTACATAATTTTTCAGTTGGAAAAGATCTTAATGTGCAATCACTTACTCATGATAACAATCTTTTCTTCAGCCTTCATGACCAAATAACCCAACATACTGTAGAAACAAAACTGGTTTCATGAGCACGTGACTTGCACTTAGAAGAGCCCTGTGCTTGGCTGAATGCTCGGCTGTTCATCTTGAAATTTTTAATAAGTTTTGAACAAGAACCCCCACATTTTCATTTTGCACGGGCACCATAAATCATGTAGCCAATCCTTGTGTAGAACAATTTTAAATATTAAGGTTTTTTTTTAAATAATGGGTTTTTCTTGTACTTAAAACCTAGATTAATCCAATTACTTTCTGTCTGAGCTATTTAATCAAAATTAACTTGGTTAAATATTTTATAGTATATACAATATAGAGTACTACTTAAGACACATGAGTCTTAATCCTGTTTGAACATTAGAATTACCTCAGAAGATACTAAAATAATCGTTTAGGGCCCCTCCTTCTGAGATGCTGATCAACTAGCCTAGGTGTATTTAGAGCATTGGTGTTTTATTGTTTTTGTTTTAAGTTCCCCAAGTAAGTCTAATATGCAGACAGGACTGAGAATCATTGATATCAAGCTTAAAAAGAACCTAGTGGATATAAATCTATTAGCATGGAAAATTGTCCAAAATATATAGGTAAGTTTTTAAGGTTAAAATGCATTTATGGATCATATTATTCCATTTGTATAAAATATTTTTAATATACAGTACAGGTTCATGAAAGGGTAAACAGCAAACTAGAGGGAGTAGGTATGGGGGTGGAGGTGAGACTCCTGAAGACTTAATTTTCCACATTTCTGTACTTTTAATTTTTACACCAGAATGAAAATATATTTTTAAATATGTTTTTATTGATCTTTAGAGAGAGAAAGGAAGAGGGATAGAGACAGAAACATCAATGAGAGAGAACCATCGATCAGCTGCCTGCTGCACACCCCCTTTTGGGGATCAAGCCCCCAACCCAGGCATGTGCCCTGACCGGGAATTGAACTGGTGACCTCTTGGTTCATGGGTCAACACTCAACCACTGAGCAACACCAGCTGGGCACAATGAATATTTTTTAATAAGAGAATACAGTATTTTTTTAAGTCAGCAAAAGCTTCACATTTTTATTTTAATTAAAAAATATGGTGAGTCTTTGGTTTATATTATCCAGCTGTTTATAACATGCATATTTACAATTTGTACTAGACATCAAAATCTTGATAAGCTTACACTTTAGTACAGAAAATGTCACATGCATTGTCTTCTTTTAGTTAGTTGAAGTCATTCCCATTTTACAGGCAAAAAAAATCAAAGAGTTAAGCAGGTAGACTTTGCTCTTAAGAGAACTGAGACTCAAACACACATCTGATTCCGAGTCGAACACTTTTTACTATACATACTACACCAACTTCTCGAAAGCTAACTCTACACAGCATCGCTGCAGAGAGGGGTCACTATATGCCCAGGAAACATTAATTGGGTCTTATAACCTTCCAGGAACAAAGTAGGAATAATTGTTTAACAACTTCAGGAGATGTCTCCTGGGCCTATTCATGTTCGCTTACTAAAAGCACAGGGCTTAAGTGCTTTCTTTGATCTTTTTTGGTTTTCTGGAATGAAGGAACATCAAAGTCGAATTTAGTTCTGCCTTTGCATGTATTCATAATATTTAAGAAGTTTGGAAATACAACATTCTAATTGTGATATATTTCATACCCCTCATCTAATCACCAAACAAGGTAAAAGTGCTGTATGCTTTTACCTTCAGCTCTTCCTAAACCTAACCTCTGTACCCCTCCTTCTCTCCACTTTGGTCCAGGCCATGCTTTTCTCGCAACTGGTTCCTGTAATAGCTTCCTTCCTACCTGTCCCCTTGGGCTCTGGTTCTACACTTTCCTTCCTACAGTCTCGTCTCCACCCAGCAATCGAGTGAGGTCAGTTGGATTAAGGCATTTGTCGCCCTGTATCACTCAATAAAATCCAGAACCATCGATGTGTGATCTGCTTGATCTCTTTGCTGGCTACTTCTCCAGCTCATCTGTCACTCTTCCTCTGGCTCACTCTGCTCCATCCACACCAGCCTCCTCTGCTATGCCTCAAACCTATCAAATATACCCCCTTTTCAGGCCCTTTGCATTTGTGGTTCCCTAGGCCTGGATGGCTTTTCCGGATATCTGCACTGATGCTCTCTTTTAATTCAATCCAGATCTCTGGTTGTCCCCTTCTCATTGAAGCTTTCCTTAACCACCCCGTATAAAATAGCACCTCCTTCACTCTCTATCCCCTTACCCGCTTTTTCTTTACAGTACCCGTTATATTTCTTAAATATGCACTTTAAATATGTGTACATATATGTTTATTTTCTGTCTTCCACCATTAAGAGGGAGACTCCCCCCAGACAGACACATGGTTCTTTTTCCTGCTTGGATTCAGGGCATAGAACAGGGCCCAACATGTAACAGGCATTTAGCAATCATGTGCGCACGAATCTATCTCCCATTTACACTTCTAAGCACTTTTTGCTTCTTCCTAGAGGAGTAGGGATAACACTGTTTTTCCTCCCCAACACTACTGTTCTAATCCCACCCAGGACTTTAAGCAAAGATGGTTTTTATATATGAATACACCATCCTTACTGCAAAGGCTAAACAAATGTGAAGCATTACTACCAGCGATTGTTATATGGGTTGCTGTGTTTAAATCACAGGTAAAGCTAACACCCGAGCAGATCCCAAAGTGAATCCCACCAGGGCTTCAGGACTCGAGGCCTCCCTGGACAGCCCCACACCATTGTTCTGCTGGGAGAACAGCAGCAGCCCGAGGCCAGAGACTACACCTGAAGAACTTAGCAGCTTCGGCACAGCAGCCACAGCTGTTTCTGGCTCCCTTGGTGTAGTGGCTCTCATCTTGCTCCTAGTGGGTCTCTTGTCCATGACCCTGAAGAAATGGAGGCATGAGAGGCTTTTTAAGAAACAACTGAGCCATCAGACCAACTTTCTCCACAAATCCTTGGAGCTTTCCTGCCACGCTGATGCCGTATATTCCGTGATCAACCTGGACCCTGGAAAGAGGATGACTTCGCTGTCTGTGCCAACGTGCCCCCTTCTGATCGCCCCAGGAGGACATCACCAGACCACGTGGAATATGCCTCGATTGTATTTTTTGATGGGAAGCCGATGAGATGCTCCAGTGTGGTTTTGCTTTAGGTTTGCGTGTGTGTGTGTGTGTGCGCGCGTGCATGTATTAAAAAAGTGCATAGCCCGGTGGGGCGTGGCTCAGCGGTTGAGTGTCGACCTGGGATCCAGGCGATCGGGGTTCGATTCCCGGTCAGGGCACATGCCTGGTTGCAGGCTCGATCAATGACTCTCTCATCATTGATGTTTCTATCTCTCTCTCCCTCTCCTTTCCTCTCTCTGAAATCAATAAAGATATATTTAAAAAAAAAAAGTGCATAAAACATATTCTGATGAAAAAAACCACTGCACAGAAGCAGCAGCTTGGGGTGATGTGGGAGTGAGGGCATGGATCAGAGGAAGAAAGCATTGTGAGGTTTTGCATAGTAGTCCTGAATTGAAGCTGGTATTGCATATGTAATTAAACCTGTTCTATAGTCTTATGCACCACCTCACCCTACCCATCTCCCACTCACAGCAGTAAAAACACATTTTACACTTTCAAGAGCTAGACTTATTATTTCAAACAATGGCAATTTTTTGCAAATAAAATTTTAAGGGTGGCTTTATTATCCTCTCCTCCCATTTTTGTTATTGAGCAAACAGGTGAAAGATTAAGCTAAATTGTCAGTTTTCCCTGCAATACGGCAGGGCTCTTCCCTCTCCAGAATCATGACATTAACACGTTTTGACCCAGGTGATCATTTTCATTCAGTGGGGGGAGGGGGGAGTGCCATGCTGGATGATGCAAGTGGAGGAGCTTGCTTATTGGAATAAAATATCTTTTTCTTTTCATCTCTTACAGGCCAGTCCCATCACACAAATCCAGTTCAGAGGATGCTAATATAAACCTTGCCCACCTCTCTTAGCCCGCCTTTCTTACTCAGACAGTTTCCAAGCAGCTCTGTGATGGAGACACAGTCTTCAGTTTCCAGGATGAACTGTGCCACAGCCCTCCCTCCTGGCAGACAGCCCCTCGCTGTCTCACTTTTGACACTGTCCAGGACAACTCCTCTGATGTCTTTAGGCTTTCCTGGCACACCGAAGACGATAAACAGGCCCAGACAATCCTCTCCTATCAAGTTACAGAATTCGTCCAGCTTATCAAATCGACTCTTCCTGGATTCTGGATGGGAGAGCTCACAAGGCTTAGATTCCGCAGGAGGAAGAGAAGACATCCGCAGAGTCTGAACCGCCAGCTGAAGCCTTATTTGCTTATCAGATCCCCAAAAGGTCCAAACCCAGTCCGCCCCAAACAGTAAGGCTTGGTGCTTGGTCATCTTGGTGGTGGTGAGCCACCCATCAACCCCCTTTTCTTGGCAGAAAGTGACGAAGTGGATCAAGAAGATCTCATTCAGGGTGTCTGGAGCTGGGCACAGATTGCTCAGAGGGTCTTCAAATCCAAGGTACTCCTCCAGTTTCTGAGCAGCATGCACTATAGCTCCACTGACCACCTCACAGACGCTGAGGACCCCCTTGCTGTCCTTCAGAGCCAACTGTTGCGATGGTTTCTGCCCCATGTTCTCTGCACCCAATCAATACCGCTTCCAAGCATCAAACATGTGACCCTCGTTCAGAATGGCTTCTTTTTCGGAGTAAAAGTCTCGCAGCGAAGTCACATCTGTTACTGTGGTCTCAGGTTTCTAACTCTGCAGCTTACTTGGTATAGCTAAGCATATATACATACAGCTAAACAAACAGGTCTCCCTGTTTGCCAACTGGGTGTGTTGCACTGGTACAGAGTCCTGCTAACTTATTTAGAGATATTAGCTCTCACAAAAAGCATTTGTGCTTCTCTAGTTATATTCACTCTACTTTTCATACTTGGTAATCTTTTCCAAGATATGTTTCATCTTTTTAAATTTCAGTTCAGTTAAAAATAGCATTTAATTCTTTAAAGAACCATACACTTTCTACAAGTAACTTCTTCAAATGTGCAGGCGAGTCATTTCCCTTTGCTTTTCCAGGATCCCCTCCGCCATGGTTCTTCCTCACCCCCAGCTCAGCGGCCTAAGCTTCCTTCATACAAAGTTTCTCAGATAAACGCTTCATATTCCTACCTGTGGATATATGCTATGAACCCCACTCAAAACATTTTCTGCGAGTTTGTGAGTTATAAAGAATTTGTTACTGTTTTCTATATCAGAAAGAAAGCCTACTGGTTATTCTGGACAAAGGAAAATAAAGTAACAGACAATCAAAATATAAGGCAATTATCAGCTGACTTTATTTCTTTTCATATGGTGATACCAGCAGTGTATAATATTTTGTAAATAAAATATATATCATCAAAAAAGTTTTAACCTCATCGCATATCATTGGTTATGTTACAATGTCCTGAATAAGGAATATTTGGCATCTGTAACAGTCTCCTGGTATTTTTAACCAGGTTTGAATAACAAATTTGTTTTCCAAATGGTGACATATGTCCACATTAAGATAAAACACAAGTACATTAAGAGTCCAATACATTTACCAAATAATGGATGGTAGGGAGCAAAAGATTATTGTTAGCATCGAATCATTTTAGTTATGAATAAGTAGTAATGTAGTATTTATAGGTTCCTTGACGAAAAGCTTAGTAACCTGCTGATAACTTGAAAGGTCGTATAGTTTGTAAGTCCATGGGTACACACCGAACTGCCCGACCCTACGCCGACTTGTGAAAACCCGTCCTTACCACAGCTGGCGATCAGAGTAATGGCGCAGTACTGGATACAAAATAGAATGTCACTTCTAATACCCCTAAAGAGAATAATAAATGCAGCAGTTTTTTGCTGCAGCTTTGTATTTTCTTTATAAAGAACATCTGGGCCCTGTGCTTTGGAAAAGCGTGAACTATATTTTATCATCGCAATATAGCCGTCACAAAACTTATTTTCCATACTCAGAGTTATTGACTTCTGAGACAAAATGTTCGGACAAATATTCAGCTTTTTAAAAAGATTCCACTCGTGGGGAGCCTGAGAAATGTACAATCAATAACATTAGTCAGACTGTTCGTATTTTGATGTAATGATATATTTAGCAAAGAGGAAAAGAAGAAGCTTAATACTGTCAAGGTTTTCGGTTTAGTCTGCTTTCTTCAGAAATTATTTCTACAAATTGTGGGGGAGCTTCTGAATGCATTCGAGTTCACAGAATGTAAATGTCCCTTGAGTTTTTATGAGTTAAGAGAGTCCAAGATTAAGGCTGAAATTCTTAAAAAAACTAACTAGCAATCTAACCAGCAATTTTGTGATGTATCATCAAAGAGGAGTTATTTCATATATACCAATTTAATCCGAATGATCAACATCATCAAAATTGGCTTATGGAGAAAGAAAGATCATCCTGACCCGTCCAAGAACCAGCTGGGTTATGAAAAATCTGATCACCGTATTTTTTTTCAATGTGATCTTTTTTTTACCATCTTCCTTATGTATGTCACAAAATAAAAGTTCTATGTTCTGTGTACTAAATATATACATATATTTAGAAAAATATATAAAAACAGGACACTAAGAGGCAAGTGGAGGTGTGGCTGGCATTCAGTGGGCACGCTGGGTACTGATTTTAGAAGCATGGCCTGTTCTGTTTCAGTGGCTACGTGGACATGACAGAGTCAGCCACCTGGGGGTTACCACTCTCCCAAGTCCTCCCTACGTGAACATGACCGGAAATGCCATGGTAAAGTACTCTCATATTAAATGCAACACTTTAAATATAATATATCACAGATTTTTTACATTAAATAGAGGAAAAACAATTATACTCTCATTCACCAGTGTCTCACTTTCCGTGGCAGCTTTAAAATAGGCACCTTTCCCCTGCTTTCCATTTCCATGTTTAAATGAGCAGAAGTTGGATCAATACACAATACACAATACACAATACACAATCTGCTGCTTGCTGGATATACCGAGTGTCTGAGAAATAACGTGGAGAGAGACCAAGGGCTCCTCATGCGCGTCCAGGTGTGACGGTCACACGTTTGAGTCCTCATCAGTAATGCTGGCACTGGGGGATCGGGCAGCGAGGTCCTTAAACATGTCATCTTCTTTTAACATGTGCTGGAAAACAAGGAAGGGGGTCACACATGGTGGGCCAGGAGCTCAGAACTACGCATTCTCCACCACACGTGCAGACCTGTGGAGTTACCCCCAAACCTATTTGTAGGATAAGATTTTAAATTCAGTTTCCAAACTTACTGTGAGGTTGTTGATGCCTTCAGAGAACGCACCTATCTGCCTCACTGTCCCCTCGGAATCTTCCATCTGCAAAGAGCACACCACAGTGTGACAAACTCATCGGCACAATTTCAAGGAAAAGTGTGGCAAAATGAACAAACATCTGAGAAGGAATAATGCGGGTTGCGTTGAATGGGACGGAAGCAACAGAACACTTCCGATGATAATCTCCTCCCACTACTGCGATTGGATGCTGAGATTCAGAAGGAGCACGTTGCTGGCACGTCTAGACTAAATGCTCTGATGTTGACAATGGCACCGAAGGATCACTGATTAAAGGGCAATTTTCAGTCCCATGACTCTTACTGAAAAGGCTAAGTAGTATGAGCTGTCCATTCCTGACTTGCTTTAATACTCAGATTTCCTTAATACAGAGAGAGGATAGCGTCGGTAAGGCACAGGGTTCGCGTCAGCCTGGCAAGTTGGAATCCCAGCTCTCCTATCTTAGGTAAGTTACTTAATCTCTCTGCACCTCAGTGTCCTTAGCTCTAAAATTAGGCTAAGAATACTCCCTATGTTTTAGGATTACCATGAACATTAATACATGCTAAGTGCTTAGGATAGTGCCTGGGCTATAGTGAGCAATCTGTTACTGTTCACCATTATTATTATCTTTATTTTTAGGCATTTGCAGAAAACTTCCTTGCTTAGTAGACACAGTGCAGAAAGCTCCCATTCGGTGTTTCAGTGCTGGGAGAACTTGAAAACGGGCAGATGCTGCGGCGCCCACCTGCTCTAACCGGTCCAGATCGTCTTCGTCATACAGGTGCATGTCCATGCCGGGCGTCAGTCCCTTCTTAGATACGCTTCCCGAGGCCTGTCCCAGTTCCATTGGACACACATACTCTTCCCCATCTTCCTGTTTCTTCTTTCTCAGATTCCCAAAATTGCTGAAGGTGAGCTTCTTTGGCTTTAAAAGAAAGAAAGAAAACAAGAACATCCAGGGATTTGATAAAAACTCATATAAAAAGGGGGCTAATGACATGTATAACTTAATTATCCATTTCATCATATAGAGAAAAGCAACTGAATGATTAAGTTTGTAAAGTAAAAACAAAGGCATCCTAGGCCTGCGATGGACGCATCCAAATACAATCAACGATCCCTGCCAAGACTCTCAGAAGACTACGCTTGTTCAAACCAGCTAGCTGGGTAGTCGCAGTGAGGAAAGCAGAGTGTGCAAAAAGCCTTCATTTTGCTTAAACAGGACTTAATGCAATGTGATTTCTCAGGGCTAAATCCAGTTTTGCAAGGTTTTCCAATCTAAGATCAGCAAAAAAAAAAAGGCCCTTACTATATTTTCTTTTTGGGTGGGGCTGTGATTATCTCGTATACCTGTTATGCTTCCACAACAGGATGGTGACTGCTAAAAGAACCCCTGCTCTTTTAGAGAAGAAAAAGAAAACGCCCAGTGAGGCTTAGAAGAGAAACTCCACCTTCGTCCCTGGGTGGTCGCTGAGAGTGCTAAGGAGATGGTGACTGGCTGATGCTGAGAATTTATACAGAACAGAACCTCTCAGAGGTTTCAAAGCCGGCACATCTTTTAAGGAAGAAAGGGAGCTGAAGAGAAATTGTCAAGCAGATGGAGTTAAAAAAAAAGAACTTGATACATATTTGTGAAGGAGCAGATAAAACCCTATATCCACATCAAGCTGGTTAACGCTCAGAAGAGTTAACACAGTACTGATTTAAAAGAAGAAAAGGTAGTCTGACCTTTGTATGACCTATGAGTCCAGGCAAACTAGGAATATCCATCCCCTGCTCATCTACCTTTGCCTAAATTGCAAGGTTGGTCAGTTATAGGCCAGACAAACTGAATCCGTATGAGGAGCAAGGCACCTCTTGTGTTTGATTTATCCACAGCAAAAAAAGGACAACTACAATCAATATTTGGGCCCAAGTCATGGGCTCTCCACGTTGGTAATGTGTCGATTATAGAAGCCAACATCATGTTCTTTATTATTGTTAACTCTAATAAAATAAGTGATTTCAGCAAAAAGTTCCCCCAGAAAGAAACCTTCAAAATTGCATTTTATTGATTACTCTTAAACATGCATATATTTTTAACCCCTCCACAAAACTTAGTAAATTCCAGAAAATGGGATAGCCAGGTAACAGAACTGAGCCTTTGCTTTAGTTTTTGGTGTAACCAATTATTAAACGATATGAGCTTGCACCAACCTTCACTTTGGCAGTGGCTGTTAAAAGTACATAGTCTGGTAACTCCATGGCGTCACGCTTCTGGTGCTGGGCCTCAGCACCAATCAGGAGGTTGAAATGAGTGGCCAAATGTCTTCGCAACAGGGTCTTACTCGGTGGGATGTTCAATAACTGAGCCATTGTTTCTACATTAAAACGAGGTTCCAGAACCTATAAGAAAAATAAGGATTGTGTAAGGTACCATACATCACAGGTGTCTGCATTGTGCTTTAAAAATTGCAAAGCTCTTTCATTTAGTTATTTCCAGTGACCCTCTCAGTGAGGTACAGAGAGTATGGACTTTAATCTTTAATTTACATATCTCTTCTTGATTGTGCCCAAGTAGTGAGAGGTAGAGCTGGTCCTGACATTCAGGCATTACTAAGTCAGGGCTTCTAACTCTCTGAGGTATTGTATTTGGCCTGTCAGTGAATAAAGTTTTTGTTTTGTGTGTTCTTTTGTTTTTAAAAATTGATTTGAGAGAGAGAAGGTGATGAGGATTAGGAGGCAGAGGGGAGATGATAGATAGATGATAGATGATAGATAGATAGATATAGATGATTGATAGATGATAGATAGATGATAGATAGATGATAGATAGATATAGATGATAGATAGATGAAAGAAAGAGAGAAAGAAAGAAAGAGAGAGAGAGAGAGAGAGAGAGAGAGAGAGAGAGAGAGAGAGAGAGAAAGAAAGAAAGAAAGAAAGAAAGAAAGAAAGAAAGAAAGAAAGAAAGAGAAAGAAAGAAAGAAAGAAACATAGATTTGTTGTTCCACTTATTTATGCATTCATTGGTTGATTCTTGTATGTGTCCTGGCCAGAGGTAGAACCCACAGCCTTGGCGTATGGGGGCGATGCTCTAACCAACTAAGATATTCAGCCAGGGCACCAACTGGGATGCCTTTGGAAGCCAACTTCTTTGCCACATCTGCATGCAGAAATATGAGCTGTATCTTTGCAGAGGTTTCAGAACACGATCACATGAGAGCCAACAGCCAGATGTTATTCAACATAAAAGAGGGGTATGGGAGAGATGGGTTTAAACCTGATCTAGAGTTACAGGACAGTAAAAAATGAGGAAAAAAATACTCTGAAAGTAAAAAAATCACTAGAAATAGTGCCGGAGGGTTGGGTTAGACAACTTTAGGATTAAAACAAGTAAACTGATGATCTCCTACTCACTAGACTAAAGGAGACACAGGGATAAGTGAAGTTTAAACTAAAATAGAGTTTTACCATGAGCCCGCCATGGACACCACTGCCCCTGAGGTTGGGGGCGTATTCCGCCAAGTCCACGGAGCGCAGCCACTCCATCACCCGGTGGTTGGTCCACTGCTGCACCTCCGAAGGGGTGACGCTATTCTGTGGGGACAGAGAACCACCAAGAGCTGCAGTCATTGATGATGGGATTCCAAATACTACACCTGCAAGTCTGTCTGAGAGTCTGCCCCGGAAATCATGTTACTCGACATCCCACTAAAGGTTTACAGAAAGGGTAAAAAAACTGTTTGCTAATTTGAATTCTCTCTGAAAAAAATTACTTCACAAAGTTTCAAGCTTTCTCTACACACTATTAGGGCATTGCTTTAGGAAAGGAAGTCTTTATAGTGATATTTAACACTCAGGCTTAAGGAGGCAGGGAAATAAAATACACTCAAGAGAAGGAGGAAGGGAAACTAAAACACAATCCGTGGCTTCTGTGACACAGGTGGAGCCGTCGTGGGAGCAGGGGAAGGAATATAGGAAACAAAGCCTAAGTTAATGAGGCTGGAAGTGAGGCTCCGAGGGAGCCAGCAGCCCTGCTCACAGGCTCCGGGAAGAAAGGGGTCTGGGTGCTGCACCCACGGAGTCACAGGCACGGGGAACACACGCTGCGCGACCTCAACTCAGGCGCTACCTCATCCGAGGGCCGCCTCCGCAGACAGTTGGGTTCAAAGTTGTTGATCCTCAGGACCTGGATGGCCCTTTTGATACTGAGATGATGCAGCACACTCATGACCTTCAGAGACAGCAAGTCATCCTGCAGAAAAGCACAAAACACGGGACTCGGTGAGCAGGATGACCTCGGGGAAGTCTCAGAAAACGCACATAAAAGTAGAAGAGCCAATGGACCCCGAGGACTCGTCACTGTGTTCAAAGCCTTTATTTAATAGTAACCACAGGACCCTTTTTCTTGTTCCAATCAAAATCTTCTCCAGGACCCCAATATATAAGAAAACCAAAATGAATGTTGTTCCAACCGAAACTGACTTCAATCTATTTCTCTCTCTTCCAGACATTCTGAGATAGGACTGGGGGACCCCACGGCTCTGAAACACACAGTCTGAAAAGCACCTGCTGGGTCACTACCAAAGGTGACTTGCTTTGATCAAGCAGATAGCTAACAGCAAGCAAGCCTTGATTGTCAGTGATACTATCCCCCCAGCCTCAAGAAATCTCTAGTTCTAGGTTTTTATGCTTTATTTAGCAGACACTGTGGGGATTTTTGGAAAATTTATGTCAACCAAAGCAAAGGTCTTGTTGAGAGTTGAGTGTAAAGAAATTAAGGAGTTATAAGTATCAACACATATCACCAATCATTTCCTTCAAGGAATAACTTTGACCAGTCTGTGGTTATTGGGCACATTGCAAACATACCAAACACACCAAAACAAATTATGTTAGAAGAAGGTGATTTGGGAAGGCGGTGTCAACATAAGCACTGGTCTACATCCAAAGACACCCAGAAGATAAACAAGAAAAACATCCCTTTTAGACACACCTTACTGATAATATATTTCTTGTGAGGGAAAAAAGTTAATCTATCATAAAAATATTTTTAAAATATTAGGCAATCAATTTAAATCCTTAAAGGCTACTGAGCAAAAATTCTTTCCTAATTTTCTGGATTAATTTCTCAAAAGTAGTGCCTTATAAATTAGAAAGGACACTTAACATATTTTAATCTAAGATTCAGGCACCCATTTACATTTCCATGTGGGCTATTTTCAACTTAAAATCTACCAGATTTAAAAAAAATTGAAATGCATAATGTTTATCATTTAAATAAAATGTTAATTATTTTAGCTTAAGGGATTTTAAAAGTAGAAACCATTTCCTTTTTTAATCAAAAAAATTTTTTGGATTTTTAAAAATCTCTTATTTTTAAGTACTTTTAGATTTACAGAAGAATCACCAACAACAGTGCAGAGAGTTCCATACATCCTTCATCCAGCTTCCCCTAGTGTTTACAGCTATGATACATTCATTAAAATTAAGAAATCAACATAGACAATAATACAATTAACTAAACTCCAGGCTTCATTCAGATTTCAGCAGTTTTCCCATGAAGGGCCTTTTTCTGTCCCAGGATCCAACCCAGGATACCACATGAAGACAGAATTTTTTATGACTTAGAACTTCTGGGGTCAAATTTTCTAAGGTAATTTATTCTTTTATAGCCATGAAAGTTTATAGACATGCTTTTTATGATTTTAAGCCTGAATTTGCTCACAGTCCCAGGGGAACATACTTAGACCTAGATAGGCTGGCAAATATTTACTGAATTTGCTCCAGGCAGAACTGTGAACTACTAAGAGCAGGGATCTGGAAATAGTACAGGTTCAAAGCTGTATGATTTTCTCCTACCCTGGAACTATGGAAACTTGGTCAGGTTACCCAGTAGAGTGCTAACTCAAGGACTGCTGAGACTTGAGTATTGATCCCAGTAAAGTGCCTGGCACACAGTAAATGTGCAACATACCTCCTGTTAGTGTTACATAATATGCCCACCAAGATGCAGACTTTGGTTCAATGATAGAGAAGAAAACAGATCCCATGAGCTGATCTCCAAGTTTCTTTAATGTTAAAAAATTCCCATTAAGTCAGCTGTTTGAAACTTTCAATTTATTTAAAGGAGATACTTATGGTAGTTGAATCCATAGCCTACCTCACAAAAAACCATTTAAATAAAAGTATGTCAGGTAGGACACTATGGTACCTAGAACACGTTCTCCTGGAACCCCTCTCTCCCCACTGTTGCAAAGCAGGGGCAAGTCCTGGTACCCATGGGAAGAAAGGCTAGACATGTGAAACCATTTCCCTAGTTCTTTACTCTGGTGACTCCCACCCTAGCAGAACTGGGCAGAAGTGAGAAGGGTGAGTGAGTTCCAGGTAACAGTTCTCAAAAGTGGGAGGGAAGGGAGAAGACAAGTCCCTGTGGATGTCAGGTCAGAGGGTAGCCTTTCCTAAGTGGTTACTGCATATAGAAATATACATAATTTAGAGACTGCCAGGGATTCAAAACTCCACACTCTATTTTTAAAACATCTTTATAAGGTATAATTCACTTACCATAAAATTTACCCATTCAAAGTGTGCACTTCAGTGTCGACAACACTGGATATACATAAAATCAACTTTCTGGATAGTTTCATTTAAATGAGGTTTCAAATTTTCCAAGGCTGTTGCAACCACCAAATCCTACAACTTCACCTTATCGGGAAATATTCCTGCCCCTCTCCTCAAGTTAAAGCAACACATTCAAACTCTGGTGGAATCACTGTGAAAACCCCCAAGCCCCAAGAGTGAATCACTTACAATGGTCATGTAGTGGAGCATTCGACCATCTACGCGTCCTTCATCAAACTGGGTCTTGTACTGGGGGAGACCAATGTCATCCAGCCATCCTAAAGGACAGAAAACTGTGTCATTAATGTGCCACAGAAAACCTTCTTGTGATTAAAAAGAAAAACGCAGTATTATGTATTTATTTGCTTGCTTACTTATTTACGAATTTAAGAATTGAAAACCTCTTACTAGTGACCCAGTTGAAATCCAGCTTTCCGTGATTGGTTTCCTCCTCAGATCCCAGAGCTTGCAATGCCAGCTGGAGTTTCTTTCGATGAAGCGAATGCTTGATTCCAAGTTCCTGAAATAATAAACAGAAACACTGGCTTTACAATTCTGTCAATATGGGCTGGATGCCACTGGCAAAGGATGCAGATTCCTCCAAAATGAAGCGAGCATTGAAGAGCCAACAATGACATGAAATCAGAACACTAACTCGGGCTAGTAAAAGGTTGCTGAACAAAAGGCTCCCAGAAAGCCAAGACCACTGGTGTTAGTTTAGTGGTGTGAGACACTTGCTAGTAGGTTCCTTCCTCTGCAGGACGGGTACTGTAGGACGCATAACAGGAATTCCACTCTTATTAAATAATTGGGAAGAAATGTTAAATAATGGAACATTAAATGTAGGGCTCTTTCCCCCCCTGTTTGCAAAGTGAAGTTGAATTGCATTGGGGAGATGGGCTAATGATAAAGCCACAAAATGATTTTGAGAAATATGAGCTTAAGGTTTATTATTATGGCCATACAATTATTTTTCATTAAAATGTCCAGTGGCTTAAGTGTTCCATAAGGAATCATTACAACCAGGTCCTTTGTTTTTAGTCCATGAAATAAAATAAGCATGAAGCAGGAAACCCAGACTTTTCCAAGAGCACTTACTGGCTCCCCCCATTGCCCATTAAGGCGTAGAAAACAGCCCTACATTTATATTCTCTATCTCTCTCTCTCAGAACTTGTTATGCAAACAAAATAGAGAAGTAGTCACCTTCTCTAGATCTTGCTGAGAAGCCTGCAAAAGCGTCTGGCCAGATGCAATCCAGTGCTTGCCAGAATTCAGGTAGGACCCCAAGCCCTGTTCCACAAGCCAACTGCAAACCTGCTCCTTGGTCCATTTGGCAAAAGGCATATCCAAGTCACTGTAAGAAAATGAACAGTTGCATGAAAAACAATTCAAAGCCAATCTTGAGGCTTATCATCAAGGCCGAAGGACTGTATGTTCAATAGACATGGGGCTTTCCTGGTGACACACATGTGACTATGCAAAGCTTAATTATCAGTATATATTTGGAAGAGGGAGTGGCACTGGAGTTGAAAGTGACCTTGTGAAACCACAGTCTTCATTTCAAATGAAATCACAAAAGATTCAGTGTGGTTTAGCAAAAACAGGTTCTATAGGAGACTGAGTTGAACCAACAAGTCAAGTCATTGTGTTAGTTTCAGCCAATGTTGTCTGAAGACTGAATTCACAAACAGAAAACACTAGGTCAGATAAAAAGAAAGTCAAGGCAAACTTGAATTAACTTTAGCAGAATTATGGTTTCTCTCCAGATGGCAAGCCATGAGAAGAAGGCAATATGTCAGCACTGATTATAAGTATAATGAAAGCAAATTTTTGTTTTCTTTTACTTTGACACACAAATAGTATTCCTGTTGGGGGTGGGGGGGAGTGGTGATAAACAAGACTTTTTCCTTCTTCTTTATCAGCACAAGGAGGTCCTCTACTTGTACAAAGAGAACAGATGGCAAATGAGACTGCTCAGTATCTGAAGAAGGCTAAACCGGGAGGGACCATGTTTTAAAAGGTTTCTAGCCCATTATCACGTTTGAAAGATTTAGTATCAATGATTTGTGCTATATGTTTGCCAACCCCACCCTTTTTATGCTCAGTATATCAGTATAGTAGTTCCAACCCAGCTTTGAACTGTGAGGAAGGTGTAGGAAAAGTTCTTAAAGTTGTAATGAATAAAACATTACATAGTCCCAATAAATTTAAGATTTCTGATAGAATGTATGTCTTCACATGCTTTCACAAACTCCATTAATCACTAATACTTATTAAACAGTTATTATTTGCCAGATACCTAGCATATATAAACTCATTTAATCTTCACAACCACTGTTTTGGGGTAGGTAATAATAAATACTATGAGAAACAGAGGCACAGAGCATGAAAGTAGTTGCTCAAAGTTGCCCAGCTTATAGGAAGTGGTAAGGCCAGAAATCAGACCCACGCAGTCTGCCTCTAGAACTTACTCTTAAGACACTACACTATGCCATCTTTGCAAGGCTATGCTTTACAGTACTTACAATTATTTTCTTTGAAAATTTAAGTCCAATAGTCATTCTAAATATTTCCATTGATTTTTAGAGAGACAGGAAGGATGAGGGGGAGGAGAGAGAGAGAGAAACATTGATGTGAGAGCAGAACATTAATCGGCTGCCTCCTGAATGCCCCTCACCGGGGATCCAGCTCACAGCCCAGGCCTCACCAGGAATCGAACCAGCAACTTTTCAGTGCACGGGACAACACCCACCAACTGAGCCACATGGCACGGCCAATAGTCATCTTAGTTCAGATGTTGTGGGCACTTTAGCTGAGGCTCCTCACCTATCTCACATAGCCCACATCTTCTGCACGGTTGTTCATCAACCATTGTCAAATTACACTGCTCTAAAGATGGTGGACCCTTCCAACAGGCATGGCAGTAAGCAATGGATTTGACTGTGTAACCCAGACACAATACTAACATTGCTGGTGCTCATGAGACCCCGATGCTTGGGTAGAGATGCAAAAGTCCATTAGTTTAGCTGTTCTTACCTGTTAGATTGCCCCAAATCTCGAGACCAACCCAGTCGGGGCCCAGCAGTTGCCCTTGTCCCTCCTCTTTTGAACTCAGTTTCAGACATGTCATCTGGGTTGAATGTAGTCGACTGACTTCTCCTGAGTCTGAAGAGAAGATACAACACACATTGCCTTGTATCGGACCTGAGGAGGCCCTAGAATTTAATCAGAACATTTGTAATTGGTGCATATACATGAGCTACTCCTCTTTGTATGTCATTAGGATATACATTTGGATTTAAACTTTGAGACCCAGTGAGTTAATGAGTCCCAAATCACAATCTTCCCTCCAGAAGAGGAAAGCAAAAGCTTCACAATTTCACGTCCATTTTCAGCTATTTTCCATTTCTTCCTACATTTGAACAACACGTAAGACAAAACCCATTTCACTTGTTCACTCTGTTACTTACTTTCCGAAGAGTTTCATGATGCCTCGGGATTTCTTTTTGGAATCTGGAGATGACAGGGACACCTGGAAGGGGCTGCTCCCCTGTGACTCTTTTGGCCGAGAAGATACACCAGCCAGGTCTAGGTGCTCGGCTGTCTCCTTTTCTGTTTCAGCTATTCCACGAAGAGAATACCAACTCAGTGAATTTTAATATATGAGATGAACATGACTAGACGTTAACCTTCTTGGCTCTAACAACTGGTAAGAATTCTTCTGTTGGTCTATAAACCAATGATTTACAAAGAGCACCCTGCAACTATTACAAATGAAACACAAATTATGTCCTATTGTACATGGATTGTGTATAAAGTCAATTAACTTAAGAATTACAACCCCTTTGAGATTCAAAGGTGTGACAGGATTGCCATATTCTTTCCTTGAGTGATTTAATTCACAATGAAATTATTCTCAATCTTGCTATACCACTTGGTACTGTTGATCATCGCCTACTCCTTTAGCTTCTTGTCATGACACCCTCCTAGACCAGCCATCTGATAGATCCTTCTTTGCTATAGCACCCTGTTGTCTTTCTCCTCCACGCCACCCCAAGATTCTGTTCTAAGTTCCCTCTGCAGGATCTCCTGACAAGCTCACCTACTCTATGCTCAGCACTAAATGATGGCTTCATTCATTGATAAGCAGCTGGCATGAAAATCTCTGGGCCTCATCTTTCTCCCCAGCCTCAGTATCTGAATGCTGAATAAATTTCCAATTCGGTATGCCGGGGACATCCTGGACTAGGCAAATTTTCCATTGTATTAATTTCTTTATTTAATATTTCATTAACATCAATTAATATGTTCCTTGCACTCCAGTTCAAACTCTTTGTCATTTTCTTTTCATTCCTTCCTTACCTTTGGCATTTATTTCAAACCAGTTTCCAAGTTCTGGCAATTTATGTAAGGGACTTATTTCTGTTTATAACCTATCATATCCTAGGCACTGGGAGAAGAATGCACTGAATATGAATACATTTTTCTTTTGATATAAAATTAGTGCCTGTTGATTTCTGCCTTACAAAAAATGACATCCAAATTTGCTACTCCCAGGTCTCCAAGCAACACCTATTTTAGTTCTTTTAGCTGTTCCTTAATGGGGTCCCACACTAGAAAATACAGGGCTACTGTTTCTTCAATGTGAGATTTTACACTTTTATAGAGGGAAGTAAAAGTTGTACAAAAATCACAGGAGCAGTGTCTTAGAAAGATATAAAGGTTGCAGAGGTTGACTTTTCTATGAAGCGGAGCTGTGGTTATAGGTTATAGTAAGCAGCATTTGCCTCTTAGCATTGACAATACCTTTCTTCTAAGAAAGGTAACAAAACATTTGAAAATAGTTGTTTGGCTGAATCAGTTTATTGTATTCATCCAGTGTTCATTCTAGACATTTAAGGCTACAGAGAGAGAGGGGTCACCTTTGATGATCCACGTGAAGAGATATGTGGACATCTTTACAAGGTAACAGAACCTGTGGGGAAAACCCAAAACAACCTTTCCACCCAAACCCTACAGCCATGATGGGTATTCGTGTCCCTGAAATGTTGCCCACACCACCCTCATTTTAAAAGCATCTCATTTTTATGTTTAGATAGTTTTTTCTTCCTGGAACCCTGCCCTTAAAGAGGAAAACTGAGCTTCCCCCTCCTAAAATCACTTTGGGGGCAACTCCTCAAATAACACACAGTTACCTGTGTCATCACTAAATGTTACCTCTATCTTCAAAGCAATAAAATGTCAGAAGAACACTCCCCTAAGAGAAGCAAGTCTAAAAAACCATTTTCAATGTCTTCCATAGACCTATTTGGCTAAAAACATTTCTTTTTGGAGGCTGCAGAAATGGAAATGTGGAGAAGGAACTGCCAGGACCTGGGAGTTAGTGTGAGAGGAATGTGCTTGAAGGGTGAAAGCTGGAGTTCACAATGCCAGGACACACCTGCCCTGCCCTGAGAGGGATGCTGTGCACTCTGGATCCCCCAGCGCTACTCGCAAGGTGTCATTAGCATTGCTTAAAACAGTGTTTCTGCTTGGAAGCAAAGGTTCTACAGAGAGTCCTTTTTAGCAGAAGGTGGAAAGAATACTCTGGAGTAAAGAACTGCATTTTTTGATTGCTGCCAGCTCGCTTTCTAGAGGTCACAGATGCCAAGAGCAGGGATTAGCTCGGTTTGGAGCGCAGCACTGGCCGAGGCTGGCATGCAGGGGTACGATACCTAAGGTGGGTGCACTGGCACTTCGTTTACGATCTTCAGATATCCCACCAACGCACACAATCACACGCAGCCCAATGGAGAGGACACATGGGAATGACAAAATGAAACACAGATCAGACTCCTACTCCCCAAATACACACAGCGGGAGGGAAGGCAAGCACCACACTGTGCTTCAGTTGCTCTGCGCCGACTCCATTAGCAGTGTCAACACAGGGTTACTTTATCCACTTGAAAAACAGATGGGAAGCTTTTATAACAAAGTCAGAGAGAATCATGGTTTTAGGCCTCTCTTCTGTCTACACCCCAGAACAGACAGCAGGGTGCGAGTCTACACAGAGCTATCTTCATACCACTGCATTAAATCCACAGAAGCATTTTTTTGCCAATTTTCTCCCTAAGTCATTCACTTTTACCTCTGAGAAAGAGAAAAGTATATGTAGATGAATAAAGGAAGGGAGGGGATTGCTTTCTTCCTTGTTCTGGTGGAATTCAGGCAAAGGCATTTTGGCCAGACATACCCAAGTTCGGTGCACTTGCTGTCCTCTTGTTACTTTTTATTTTAAAAAAGCCACGACCAAAGGAAGATCTGCCTTTTCGAGTGCCAAAGGGGTTGTCATCCACGGAGGCATTGTGTCCTGGGGCTTTGGGAGGGAGGCTCCCAAATGGGCTGCTTTCTACTGGAGCTTTATCCTGAGAGAGAAGTAAAAATAAATGAAACAACACTGATGCACCTGCCAGGCACAATACTACGTATGTTACATACGTGATTTTATTTAAAGGAGTAACTAAACTAATAAACTGACTATGAATATCAAGTGCCACATTAGAAGTTCAAAAAATCAATTCTAAGGCTACTTAAGAAACAAAAACAAAAACATGTTTGTCACTAACCTATAACCCACATGTTTAAATATTAGGGGCTTTAAGTATCGGGATAGGTACAGAAATTCTCAAATGTTATTTGTCTCGTCCAAAAAAAACCCAACAAACCCCATGGAGATAAAAAACTAGAATAGCAATAGATTTCTTACTTTTCCAACAATTATGACGCAGGTTTGGCTATAATACAGCTCACACTCTTTATAATATAACTACGTCAACAGAAGCCCAATACAACATGATGTAATTATTCTACAAAGTAGGCGGTGTTCCCAAGCTTCTATACAGGCAGTATAAGGAGACTGCACTCCAATTATTTCAAAGACTCTTCTCAAAGAATTAATAATGAAATGAAGGCATAATCAGCAAGTGTTTAAAATGCATTTTTGAAATGGGATTCTGGGATATACTCATATCTTGCCTGGGAGCTACCAAATCTGGATGAACAATTCTCAGAAACTGGGATACATTCAGATATACTTAACTAAAACCAGACTCACTGTCATTAAATTTTTCTTGGTTGATTCAGAAGCTACTTCAGATTTCTACAATATTTCAGAACTTCAACTGTGATTAAATTATGCTTTTCGATGTTGTTTATTTGTTTTTAGCTTTCCGGTTATTGGAATCGGCAATTACAGTGACATGGACTTTTATAGTGTTTCAGTGTTATGTAACAGTGCTTTCCTTTGGCTGTCCTCATTTCTCTAATATCTCTTGCCCTCCTTTCTTTCTTTCTTT